ATACGAATCCCGAAATAAAGCACAATTGATCCGTAATGTTCTGCGGTACTGAATTAACGAAATCATTACATGTACAATAAAGTAAACCTCAAATATGCGGCCAAAAGCACTCAAGCAAGCGAGCCAAATATGATGTCCAGATAGAGGTAAACAGTCGCTCCCGTTCTCAAACCACGCCAAATTCGAATGTGCCGGGCATCGAATTAACAGAAAAAGAATAATGTATGGTGTTTGTGATTGAGCAATGTCAGTGGAGAAGCAACACACAGATAGAATTATTTCACCATAAATCATCATGGGTTTGGAAGGATTTTCAAAAATTCAACATAAAATACAGAAGGCGCAACAACTTGCTTCCCGAATGGTAGCTGGGCAAAAGGGAAAAGCTATAAACAGCAATTGAGAGACCTAAATCTCTTTTCGCATGAACGTAGACGACTGTAAGGAGACCTAATAGAGACCTTTAGAACAGTCGATGAGTTCAAAAGGCAACTAGATGGGGTCTGGATCACCCTCTAACCTGAGATTTGGTAGAGTGCCCACTATTGAGAGTAGATATTCCATACTGCCTATTTTTGAATAACCTCCCCTTTCAGATACGGACCCCATAAGGGAGGCTGTTCCGAACGAAGAAATCGTCTGTGGTCAAACGATCGACAAGACGTCGAAGCTCCGGAAGAAGGTGGTTCCGGATGGAGCAAGAATCTGGACGCTCGGTTGGCGCAAGCCTTTATCGTCCTGTACCACCTAATCTTATCTGAACTGGAGGGCGCTTCACGAGGTGATTTGGAGGGATAAGAGAGCTACCGTATGCGAGAAGACTGGAGGTGCTGAACCTCCTCTCATTGGTGAGACGGAGGCGTTGTGGCGATCTCCTAGAGGCGTTTAAGATCCTTCAAAGGGATCACAGAAATAGGCGGTGGTTCCCAGGAGCTTCTGAAGCTAAGTGAAAGCAACTCACTTCGAGGGCACGCACTGCAACTGGCAAAGGATAGGGTAAATTGTCGACTGAGGGCCATATTCTTTCTGGTTCATGTAGTGAATGATTGGAACAAACTGCCAAGGGAAGCCATAGCAGCCAACTCAGCGGCTGAATTCAAACACTGTTTGGATAACTTGTGGGTTAGTTTGTTCGTTAGAGGAGAGTAAACGTGTCAAACGCCTGAAGCCTGTCTCCCTCCCCTCCTCTCCCCATTCCAAGATCCGAGACCATGGGGCTTAACCTCGAACCCGCGAAATACTTCAAGACTTCAAGACATCCCAATGACCCTCTTAACCCCCACTTCCACTTCCTCTCTTGACCTCTCTAACAAAACCTCCGATTGTCCTTAACTTAAAATTTTTCCATCATTTTGGGCTTCAAGGTTCTTGGTGTGACTCTCCCATCCGAGAGGCCAGTGTGCAATGCACAACTGCTACAGTAACATGCAGACGACCTGAGGTGTTTCTCCCTCTGTGTGAGTCGATTGTTCGCCCACACATGAAATATTGTGTGCAGACATGGGCACCGTATTACAGGAGGGATGTATCTTGTTTAGAAAGATTGCAGCGCCTAGCTGTCCGAATGGTGGCTGGGCAAAAGGGGAAGAGCTATGATCAGCGGTTGAGAGATCTTGATCTCTTTTCGCTGGAGCGTAGAAGAGTGAGAGGAGATCTGATAGTGACATTCAAAATTGTAAGAGATCTATCGAGAGTCAACCTAGATGACTTATTTACGATTACTTGTGCTCAAAACACGAGAGGTCATGGCTATAAACTTCAGCAGAACCACGCCAGGTAGGAAGTACAGGCCAACTTCTTCGCACACAGGGTCATACCTATGTGGAACAGGTTACCTGCAGAAGTGGTCAACTGCACCAATTTTAACGCTTGTAAGGTGGCCCGGAACGCATGTTGGTCAGCGACGTTCCCCAAAGTTAGTATTTAGAGTAGGAACATAAGGTCCCGTCCTATTTCTGATCTATATTAATGATCTCTCTAAACGTCTCCCTATAGAGATTGCCAAGTACGCGGATGATGTCACTATCTGGGGCACAGGCACATCCCAAGGGCAGTCGGTGATTGACCAAACAAAAAATTGGTCAGTCGACTGCAGCTTACCAATCAATGACGAAAAATGTGCAAGCATGACCCTTGGAAACGCTCCCGGTCAACCTTTCCTGGTAAACGGTCCAACCCGTATCCAACTGGTGGATCAGCACAAAATTCTTGTTTTCTGGGTGAATATCAACCTCTCCTTTTCTTCCCGTAACCAAGAAGCCAGTAAAATCACTTTTGGTGTTCCAAACCTTATCAAACGATCTTTCTCGCGTATAACCAAAGAGGACCTTCCTTTTCTCTGTGAAACATACATACGCCCACTGTTAGAATATGGCAGCCAAATTGCACATTCTGGCCTCATTCGCGACCGTGACTCACTATAGCGTGTGCAGCCAAGGGCCACGAAACTAGTACATGGTTTGTCTGAAATCCCTCATCATATCCGACTACAACAGCTAAATTTATACCCTCTAGATGTACAACGTATCAGAGGTGATCTTTTCCTTCTATATGACCTCTTCACTTCAGGCCAAGTTGACCGTTTTTTCACACGCTCTAGTCTGAAACAATTAAGGGGACACCCAAGAAAACTTCACAGGCACTGATGATGTCAAATCGGCTTGTGATGAAACGTTTGCAAACAAATTGCCAAGCTCGGCGAACAGGCGAAATCGAATTCAGTTCACCCGAGCTACGAGAACCAATTTTCAATACTTTGTCACCCAAGAAAACTCTTCAAACACCGGCCCAGAAACTTCATCCGCTCCAACTTCTTCACGTACAGGGTCATCTCAGAATGGAACAAAATTCCACTAGAGATTGGGAACTCCTCCTCCAAAAGGGTTTTTAAAACCCTACTAGACTCACACTTAGGGCTTACCATCCGTCTGACCTAATTGGACTCCATCTTCTGAAGGACACCCCCACGTTCTCCCGGTTAACCCTGTTACCACTACTCTCACATCCTCGCTATCCTCTAGATGCTTTTTTCTTTTTCCGATGTATGCACCCTTAACCCAGCGGCGCCATATTGGAGCCAGCTCCCATTTCCATCAACATACCTTTCAGCTCGTGAACCGAACTGCAGAAAAGAAGACAAATCTGCAACCGGGAATATTGGGCGCAAGCCTCGAACCCGAGTACTACTTCAAGAATTCGAGACTTCAATAAATTCTACTTCAGCCGGAAGGTTTAAAATGGTGCAAACTCCGGCTTGACTGTTAGAATTATTCTAAAACTCACTGTCCTGTCACCTGTGATCTGTGTATACGAACGCATGTGTACTTCAGGTCTCTAACCAATGAAGCGAGGAGATATCCTTGCTTGCTTTCCTCCCTTTCAGCATACACCCAAGGAGTCAACTTTCTGGAAACGGGGCTAAATTGAGAGGATCACAAACACCTAATCAAACGTAGGCAGTGTTGGAAACTACTTCCATCCGCCAACAACACAACTGGACGCTCGATTGGCAAGAGCCATATTCGTCCTGTGAAAACTGAATTGAACTAGAACGCTTTCAAAATAAAAGTCTCTCGCCGACACGGCGAGAAGTAAAGGCTCGCTTTCTCTCTTTTTGCAGACAAAAGGAGAAACCAATCAATCGCAGAGGTTGACTTAAACTCAAGAGCATACCACCGAACGAATTCTGGACGCTATCTACCTGAACCAGTCCTTTCCTCCAGCCGTCTTAGCACCCTAGGATCCCATCCCCATGATTGACACCCTATGGGCATAAATATCTCTCTCCAAGAGAGATTCTTTATTATTAGGTGTCATCTATTGTTCCCCAACCAGCGACCTGACACAGGCACAGGCCAATCAAAACCAACTTCGCTATCTAAGATCCTGCTGCCTCCCTACACACGTCCTTATAACCGGCGACTTTAACGCTCCGGCTAGGACTAACTCTAGTGACATGTTCTTTGGTCAGCCCCTTCTAGACCTTATTACTGAGAGATCATGCTATTGTTTGTAATTTTTCTGTTATCAATTAAAGGTGAACCAGATCATTGGTTTACGTTACAATCAGTGTTATTTACATAGTCAGCATTAACGGTACTAAATAGTAAACGTTGACCTTGCTTTAACTACCAGCAACCTAATAATTGTTAGCTTACTAGAGATTTATCAGTCTATTTCCAACATTTTCATTGTCTGTGGATTAGCTTGCCTAACTATCAATACCTAATCCGGTTTAAACGTATTGTTCATTAATAATGCCACGTGTACCCCATCCGTGTGTGGAGGTAAAGTGAAAAAAAGAGTTGTGAAGGGCATACTGTAACTCCCGAATACATCAACGAGCCGAAATTGGATCCAAAAGCGTCAACAAAACGAACGATCCGGAAAATTTCTACGGTACTGCATTAATAAGCGACCAAATAAGCAAATAAAAACTGTAAAAACCTCAAAGTGATCTCGAAACAGCTT